TCAGACGCATCTGAGTCTGAATCAGACATGGATGGCATGCGATAAAGATCCAGCCTGTCGCAATCACAAAACAGAAAGCAGGTCACATTCTGCTTGAACCATTGTGGCTCTGCCCAGATGCGTTGTGGCACTTGCCCATCCTCCGTGACCAAGAAGTTGACCGGGTGTGGGGCAGCCTGGGGCCATGTTGTCAACAGAGCTCGGCAGTGGCCTTCCTCATCAGTGCCTAAGTGAGCAATGGCTGACAGCAACTGGTAGCCACGGCGGCTTGTGGTGATGCCATCATTGTCAAAAACGGGCACTGTGATCCCTCCTCTGAAGTGAATGGGGCGCTCACTTTTTGCAGCAGCATTGGTACCTTGGTTCATGTAACGATCAACATGGATGCAAAGCAGGGCATCTGGTGCAGTCAGGGCTGTTTGCATTCCAAATTGTGTCTCCCAGGAGTTCAGCATTGTTTGTAGTGCTGTATACCCATATTGGATTGCATCAGGGTCTTGTGCATCAAATTGGACAGTGATAGGGCGCAGGGCATCACTTTGATCCATGATCCGCGTGGCGTCATTGATTTGCACTCTGCGTTCCCACTTCATGTTGAAGCCGCCAAAGTGCAGTCCCCTGAGTACATGTGAGAGAAATTCCACAGGGTCACCCTGATGAGTTGGATTTGGCCATGATTGCAAAACGTCGGAAAACCAGGTCTGAACAGCTAGTGAAATGGGCCCGAGTGCAAAGGTCATGAGACATTGAACGATCAGGATGGCCTGTGGCCCCAAATCAGACATTTGAAAATCAGTACGGCTCAGCAAGGCCCACAAGATCGCCATCATGGCTGCATTCATGTAGCATTGGTTCCCTGCATTGCTGAAGGCCAATTGGCTGAGGGCGGCCAACAGTGTGCTTCTGGTGGGCAGGGGCTGAGGAGTCAGTTGTTCTGGCCTTTCCCAGCATGCTTCCCCTTGCCCTTGCTCTTCCCCAGCATGTTCTGCAGCTGCAATGCCTGGTGGCTCTGATGCAGTGTGTGCGCTTTGAGTGAGGCACCCAAGAGACACCATACTTTGCAGCCCGCCAACGTCTCCAACAGGGTCTGCAGTTCGTCGCAGCGTAAGGAGATCTGCAGGAGCCATGGCGTCATCCTCTGATCCGAGGGTCTCAGACTGTGGAACTTCAGCGTGTTGGCTGGGTCCATGGTGTTCTCGACCAGTTGGTCCACGTACCTCTTCATGCGATCCATGCCCACTGGTTGTTGGTCTGTCTGGGACAGTGCCTGGCTTTTGGCATCCCATCGATGGTAGAAGAACTCCCCCTGGTTGTTCACTAGATGGTGTTTCAAAGCAGTCTGGAACAACGGGTCCGTCGGCTGGCTGTCGTACAACTTCTTCAGACGATGCTGCAGTGTCAGCGCCATGGTGTGCATCAAGGTGGCTCGAAGGGGTCGCCACTCCTGCGTTTTCATCTGCCCCTCCTGCTGTGCCATTTCCGTGTGCCAGCTCTTGGCTTTGGCGCTCAGCACATGGATCACTGACTCCGGCTCCATTTGCATGTAGAAGACGAAGGAGTCTTGTTTTCGCATCAGGTTCTGGTCCATGTCCAGACGTATCAGGAGTTTGGCCATCTGTTGAACCACCTGCGGCAGGTCGAGTTGATGTTCGACTCCTGGGGCCCTGTGCTGGGTCTTGGCTTTCTTGCTGGCTCCTCCTTCTTCTTTTGGGTCCTTGTTGGCCTTCTGCAAAAGGGGGGCCAGAGCGCCAAAGGTGTCCAGGAGCTCCTGTGTCTCCCTGCCGTTCAGTGGCACTGAGGCGTCCATGTTGAAGCAAAAGGCACAGCTGGTGTATGACCGGGCACTGCTGAAAATGGGCTAGAACCAACGTCTGGCGGGCATGTTGCTCAGATAGTTGTGGTTCCCCAAGCAGTGGCAGATTGTAGATTTGGTGGCATTGTGCACATTGATAGTCAGTGTGAGCAGCATGTGTGTATTCATCATACAAGAACGGCAGCAAGTCAGCCACTGCATCCAGTGATGAGGCATGGACCTGAAGTACATGATCTCGCAGCAGGGCTGGATGAAAAACTCCACCGCAATGGACACAATGTTCCCTGAGAAACTCCTGCATGGCCGGGTCGCTGAGAATCATACCGACCTGTCGCATTTGGGTGGCTTCCACCAAGGTTGCACAAGCTGGATTGTTGATGCTATGACTCAGCATGGACTCCAGGGCTCCTCTGTCATCCCTCCACGGCAGGAACACCTCCACCGAAGATCTGGTGGCCATCATGGCTATCTGTCGGTGTCGGTGTGTGTGTGTGTGTGTGTGTGTGTGTGTGTGTGTGTGCGCGTGTGTGTGGGTGGGTGGGTGCGTGCGTGCGTGCGTGCGTGCGTGCGTGCCGTGCGTGCGTCGTGCGTGCGTGCGTGCGTGCGTGCGTGCGTGCGTGCGTGCGTGCGTGCGTGCGTGCGTGCGTGCGTGCGTGCGTGCGTGCGTGCGTGGGTGGGTGGGTGGGTGGGGTGGGTGGGTGTGGGGGGTGGGTGGGTGGGTGGGGGTGGGTGGGTGGGGTGGGTTGGTGTGGGTGTGTGTGTGTGTGTGTGTGTGTGCTCTGTGTGTGTGTGTGTGTGGTGTGGTGTGTGTGTGTGTGTGTGTGTGTGTTGTGTGTGTGTGTGTGTGTGTGTGTGTGTGTGTGTGTGTGTGTGTGTGTGTGTGTGTGTGTGTGTGTGTGTGTGTGTGTGTGTGTGTGTGTGTGTGTGTGTGTGTGTGTGTGTGTGTGTGTGTGTGTGTGTGTGTGTGTGTGTGTGTGTGTGTGTGTGTGTGTGTGTTTTTTGAACCCCATGACATGATTTGTCAGCAGGTCGAGCCCGTCGCATGCTTTGTTGCATGTGGCCCAATACCGGTCCATTTCAGGGTACCGTTGAGTGGGACTTCCAGACTGATTTTCGCCCCTTGGGACTATTTTGGCTTTGACCAAAAGTTCCCTCAATTTGGTTAGAGAGGAACGGTCTTGCCGGTGAAAAACTAAAGAAGTAACATTATGGTATATTTCAGGAGAAATGAGACAGTGAAAAAGAGATTCTACCAGCCTCTCATCGCTCAGATCTGCCGCCTGCAGCTCGCTGCCCAGCGCCTCAGGTGAAGCCGCAGCCAAGGGAAGTGTCAGCAGCGCCCGCAGCCGCATGTAGGCCGCCCCGCAGCTCAGCGCAGCATCAGTGTGCCAGGCCGCAAGAGATAGCGCCGCCGCAGCCAATGTCGTTCCTAATGAGGGGACCTCTTATATGATGACAATTTTTTTTTTTTGGGCTTCGTGCTGAGTGGGCTTACGCCTCTTGGCCTTTTTTTTTTTGCCATCTTCTCGGGGCACGACATCAGGAACTAGGACGTATACGAAAAGAACATATGAGTCAATCGCCGACTAGGCATCAAATAGTTGCCAAAATGGCATGGAAATTGGCAAAATGCCATGTTATGCATTGCTATCAACCGCAACGCACATTGCAGACTGTGCAAAACTGGCGGCAAAATGCCGTGGTGAAACTCATGCAGTTCAGTGCAAAATGTCATGTACAGACAAAGCTAAGACAAATTCACAAAAGTCTCAGGACTGCTGCAAAAGAATGAGAGGCAGGATCAGGTGGCGTCCTTGCGAGCTCTCTTGGTCACCGATTCTGATGAGTCCGTCGGGGCACTCAGATCCGCTCTGCGTTCATCTGTAGATGAAGCCGAAGTCAAAATAGCACTGCATGCAGGGGGCTCAGTGCTGGTCATGTCTCCAGCATCCTGTGGCGAACTTCCAGCTGATAGAGAGATGGGCGCCAGAGCAGCATCACGAATAGGATTGCGATCCATGGTCCTGACAGCAGTGAAATTTGACAGGATAAGCCAGATCATCGTGATGTTGCACAAAATTTCATCTGAAAGAATATGCACATGCTCAGGCAACTTGTTGTCGTCATACACAAGCCAGTGACCCTGATATTTTAGGGCAGTGCGATGATGACCTGTATTTGGATTTGCACCAATGTGATAGGAAATGGCCGCTATACGAAATGGTAAAAATGCAACCTGACTATCGGCAGCAGCAAAGCACGGAAAGTGAACTGTATCGCCAGAAATCTGGATCTTTTGTGTGCACTTCCTGTTCTGTCCCTCAATGTGTCTGTCAAACATGAGGATGAGACAATGCCGCTCCTGATCGCTTGCCCGACAAACACCTAGGGAGTCATGCCAATGTGCAATGAGATCTGTAAGATTGCATGCCAAATCTAAATAGTGAATAAATCTGATCAAAATTGGTGCATATCGATCGCCCTTTTCGCTGTCCAACATCGGATGAGTCTCATGAGTGACAAATTGGAATCGGGTGCACCAGCGACATGAGAGAAAGGATGGACCCAAGCGATCAATAATGAAAGCCGTAAATTCCAAGATGTCCTGTTGTTCCGAAAGATCCCCTGGCTGGAAAGCCCCAAAGAGCAGCCACAAGAAGGGCTGGAATACCCTCAAGTTCAACGGAAGTGGATTCCATTGACAAAGTCCCCGCAAAAGTTCAAAGCCATGAGCCCAGCAGGAGGGGGAAAAACCCTGACATAGCTGTGTGTCTGTGTGTCTGTGTGTCTCTGTGTGTCTCTGTGTGTCTCTGTGTGTCTCTGTGTGTCTCTGTGTGTCTCTGTGTGTCTCTGTGTGTCTCTGTGTGTCTCTGTGTGTCTCTGTGTGTCTCTGTGTGTCTCTGTGTGTCTCTGTGTGTCTCTGTGTGTGTGTGTGTCTCTGTGTGTGTGTGTGTGTCTGTGTGTGTGTGTCTGTGTGTGTGTGTGTTTGTGTGTGTGTTTGTGTGTGTTTTTTCACTACACTCCTTTTCAAACTGCATCCAGAAAAGGTCCGTGCCGGCCAGCATTGACCTTTGTCAATGGTTCCATCGTGGAATCTCCTGGCTTTGCTAGGTTACATTGCCTCTCAGGTGAAAAATTGTTTGGTTCCTTCATTTGGTACCATTGGAGAAATGCAAAAAGTAGCCATCTCAGGGTTCATCGCATGTCTTTCGGTCATTGGTGTTCTCATTTGTAGGCAGTGGCAGCAGGGCAAGAATCTGTGCTGTCTGATCTTGCATGAGGTCACCTGGATTGGTATATTGCAGCAGGTGGACACAATCGGATCTGATCATCCAGTACATCGTTGCACTGCGGCGGAGCCAATGTGGCAGGTGCCAAACTGGTGATGGGCGTTGCCAGTCTTCTGTCAGCAGCCATTCTGCAGGCAATGTCTGGAGCGGAAGCGAAGGAGCAATTCTGAGGGCAGAGCGATAATGTCCTGCCTGATCTTCTCCCACATGTGCCGTCAGTGCAATGATACGATATTCTACCATCTCTGTCCGCCGCTCTGCATCTATGAACTTTGGCACAAGGCAAAAATCATCAACCTGCACTTTGCATTCACTCTGTCGGACGTGTCCATTCTCATCCTGGTGTGTTCGATCCAGATGCACGCATAGGCACACCGGGGCTTCAACCAATGCAGCAATCATGCCATTGGCCTGGCACCACAAACGAAACAGAGGGGTCAAGTTGCATTGAGTCAGGTTGGCATACATGGAATCAAACTGCAAATGCAAAGGAACGTGTCTGGCACTGCTGTCAGCGACATGAATACATCCATTTTGTTCATACCGGCGTTCCCAGCGCATGTCAAAAGCGTTGCACCCCATCTGGAGCAGCCAGTGAGAAACAAACTCAGCAGAGTCTTGCTGTGTCCACAAGCTGGGCTCAGCCTGTGGGTCCAATGTGCCCCAGCAACGCAAAATCTGCAAAAACCACTCTTCAGTGCATATTTGAGAACATGTGTCACTGGTATGTTCAAGGAAAGATTGCATCATGGTGCGTTGCTCACCCCAAAAGTCAGCTTGCCATGTAGTGCATGATAGGGTGGTCCATAACAATGCATATACGGTGGCATTGGCAAAACAAAGATTCCCTGGATTCTCCAGAGTCAGTCTGGAGAGACGTAAGAGCAAGTTTCTGGGATCTGCTGATCCAGTCTCAGATGAAGGGCTCATGACTCGGCCTTGATTCCCTTCTGCGATTTGCCCTTGCTCTTGCCCTTCCCTTTGCCCTGCGTGTGACTGGGGAGCTGCAAAGTGCGCTGCAAGTTGAAGGCCAGGGAGCTCTGGTGAAGGCTGTGCTGCTTCAAATTGCACCCCACCAAGAGCCAAATGGCCAGATGTGACATCTCCTGGAGCGCCTGCCATGGTTGGTCGGACCGAAGACTGACCTGCATCTTCCAGGGACAGGCCACGGAGCTCGGCGTGCTCGGAAGGGCATGGAACCTCACCACAATGTTGGGATCCTGAAGGGCCTCCAGCATGTCGTTGCAAAGAAAAAGCACTCGTTTCAGAGTGAGCGGCTTCTTCTGGCTCACCTGCAGGGCTTTCTGCTCGTGGCTCCACTCCAAGTAGGGGCATGTTTGGTCTGGCAGCAACACCTTGTTGTGAATCGCCGCCTTCTTGATGTCTGAATTGTCCGGTGCCTCCCCCAATTGGTTGATCCTGGTCTGCAGGGTCTGAAAAAGGACCAAGGCCAATCTCTGTCTCAGCGGTGGCAGTTGCTGAGTTTGGGGCTTCTCCTTGAGGGCCTGTGCTTCCTGGACCCAGGTTTCCGTCGCTTTCACCAGCAAAGGCAGACTGCCCTCGTTCTCTTTGTTGGCGAAAAAGAAGATGTAAGTGTCCTCTTTCTTCAGCAGCTGCATCTCGCGATCGAGTTGGATGGCAAGCTTGGCCATGAGCGTCATGGCGCTTGCCAGGTTGATCTTGCCCTTGGTCTCCATGACGTGATCTGGTTGCTCTTGATTGCCCGGCGGCTGATTTCCTTTTCTTTGGCGCTTGGGATGGGCGTTCTGTGTCAGCTTCAGGCTGCTGTCCAACATCGGCGTCAAGTGTTGAAAGGCCGCCAGGATCTGTTCTCCTGCTTCCCCGAACGCTCCCATTTCCGTGTCTGCCATGTGCAGCTTTGGCCAGGAAAATCGCAGCCTGCAAAATGCAGGGGCACTGAGCTCTAAAATGGGTCTGAGCCTCTGCTTGTTGCACTGGGTCAGGCTCCATGTCTGTGTGATCGGAGCTGGCACTGAAAACTTGGAGACATGCGTGGCATCTGTGATCATCACCCGTGACATGCATGAAAAAGGGCAGCAACTGTTGAATGTAAAACTTCACCAAAGGTGTGCCACATTTGTGCGCCTCATACATGTGTAGGTGCAGGTCTGCAGCCCCATGTTGATCTCCACAGAGAAGGCAGGTGTCCCTCAGCAATGCCATAACCGCATCATTGGTCCAGAGTTGTGAAAGCTGCTGGTCTGTCAGGAGTCGTTCCATCATGAATCGTGAGGAGCGTTCAATTCTCTGGGACATCAGGGTTGCCAACTCAGCATCAGTTGGGGTATGAGGAAACAGGATCACATCTTGGAGTCGCAGGAACAGCATGGAAAGCTGGCGCAGCGGCACACACACGTGAAAGGCACGTGCCTGTGTGACGCTGGGGTTGCATAAGCAACCTGTTTGCTCATACAGGAGGGCTACAAGAATCTGCGTGAGACCCTGAGCCGCAGACCATAACTGGGAATGCGCAGAAATCAAGTGTCCTGACATGTCCGTGGCTCTATGAAATCGAAGCGCACAGTGTTGGCACCGAAGGGTCAGCTGTAATCTGTTGTGCGGGTCACGCAAGATATTGGCCAGCTGTCCAGAACAAAGTGCTTGTTTCCAAATGTCACGCACTGCAACTACCTCGGTTGGCAAGCTTGGGTCAAATTTGTCACACCTGCCCTGGTTTATGTGACTGCGTAATGACTCAACATTGTCATAGAGAGTGCCGCAGTGTATGCATGCCGGTTCTCCATCCACACAGTCCCTGGCTGGGTTGAAGCTTGAGCTGATGAGACGATGGTCCTGCACAAGGTGCGCATTGAGCAACTCTGGCGTGGAGAAGGTCTCGTTGCAGATATCACATGTTCTGATGGTGATGGATGTCTCGGCCTGTGCCTCTGTGCAGCCACCGCCGTTGACCAACAGGAGTGATATCTGTGTCCACACTGTGCATTGGTGGCAGTTTCTGAAAACCTCACCGCAAAACGGGCAAGGTGGGTCCTCCCCATATATATTGGTGAGCAACTTGCCCTTGCTCATGGTGTGCGGCCAGAACTCAGGGTGCATCGTCTGGATGTGATGATGTAGTTCTTGGGCCCTGCCAAAGAAATGGTCGCAGAGGCAGCAGCGTTTGGCCAAATACTGGCAAGCCTCTCGTTCTTTCTTCATGTGGTGCCAGTTGCGTGTACCAACTATGGTGAGTACTCTGGGGCCCCATGGTTGACTCTTCACATTTTGCAGGTCTGAGTCAGTCAGAAAAACCTTGCCACGCACAGGTGCCTCCAGCTGCGGTGCAAACATGGTCGCTGGCAGAGCAGGATCAGCTTGGAGCACACGTCGTGAATCAGTCCAGCACTCAGCAGGGCCAGCACAAAGAACCTGGCATCCACGTTGAGCATGTATGATGAACTGTCGCCAAGTGGTGAATGACTGGTAACAGTATCTACATTGGGGGAGACCATTAAGGGAATATTTGGTGGGATCAATGTGCAGGCAGCGGTTCATTCTAAGGCCATGCTGGGTCGTGCAGTGACGTCTGAACCGAGAGACATCAAATGTGGCAAAATCACAAAGCTGGCAATGATGTTCGGTCTCTGCTATTGGTGCCTCTGTGGCTGCAGTGGCAGGGGACACTTCCGGGCCTGGTGCATGCCGTACATTCTGTGCTGTCTGGGCCATCAAAAAAAGCTTGAGATGTTCCAGGTGTGTCCAGTCAAGGGTTTGAATGATGTCAGTGTCATAGACCCTGGTGAGTCTTTGGGCAACGGACCTCTGCAAACCGTCTGCAGTCTTCCACAACCATGCAACGGGCTGATCGACGTTCTGCAAACAAAATGCCTGGAAGTGACTGTGGCCTGTGAGGTATGCATGATCACGCAAGAGCTGCCTGATGGTCATGTACATATGTTGTTGTATCCGTTGGAGACCTGTGCTGGTGATGCCAATGGCGCAGAGTCCATAACTGAGTACAGGATATATGCAGGTGGACCACAATTTCAATCTTTGGCGTGTCGTCAAACCCCCAGAACCTGTGAGCCAGCGATGCAGTCGGCCAAATGCAATTTTGGAGAGCTGTATGCGGTGCTTTGTGGTGCTGTCTTCAAACCTGGCATGTGACATGATGGTACCAAGGTATTTCGCTTGGGTGGCAATTGGAAACTGAAAACTTTGATGATCCTCTGCACTAATTTTCAGCCAGTCAGTGCCCTGGTGTCGGCAGATCATGGAGTTACGCATCTGTCGACAAGAGCTGCCAGTGATGGAGAGCAAGGCAACACACTTTTGTGGGTTGATCGTCAAGCCAAACTCTGTCATCAGTTCCAGGGTAATGCACAGGTTCTTCATGAGCTGTTGCAAGGTTTCAATTGAGTCAAAGGTATTGCCCATCTGTCCATCGTCTGCATAAAAGTTCACACAAATACGCACCCATTGTGTTGTGGTACGGCGTTCAAGTTCACTTAAAAAGGCATGGATCTGACAGTTCCAAAGAAATGGAGCGGCTTTACATCCTTGGCGTAGGCCACGGCCTACCTGAATTGGTTCCTCGATCCCTTGGCAAATTAAGCTGTAACTTGTTTCTTGGTGCCACAAAGAGAGCAATTGAATGATCTTGGGGTGCACACCGATGGACGCCAGTTTGGCAAAAAGTCTCATCCTATCTACCCGATCGAAGGCCCTTTCAATGTCAAGAAAAATGCTTATGCCTCCAGCAATTTTATGACGAGAAGTGGCTTGACTGCGGGTGAAGGGGGTTGACCTTTGGGAGGCCATTAAAGTCTTAACAGACCTACAATGTTGAGCTACTCTGAGCAAAGCATCTTGAGTAGATCGAAAGGGCATATAGGCCCAGGAAGGCAGTTGGGCCAAATCTGGAAAGGCCTCTTTGAGAGCCCTGGACGCAAGAAGACCTACCACGGCCTTACCGACCGGTTCTTGGAGTGCTATCGGTCGTAGTGCACTCGGATGCACAGGGGGCTTCAAAGGTTTTGGTAGCATCACCATCCAACCCAATTTAAACCATGTAGGAATATACGGCTGGGGGGTATCCCACCATTCCAAAAGCTTATCAAATAGGGCAGGGGCAATTATGGGTGCAACTGACTTCCAAATGAACCCCGGAGAGCATGGCCGTGCAACAGCCTTAGAGGCTGGGATTTCCCTCAATGCCCGCTCAAGCTGTGCCGCTGTGAAGGGAAGACCTGGGTCAGGGCAGGGTTCAACAGGGAAGGTAGCAGGCCCATGCCATGTGTCACTGACAAATCTTTTCAGCATAGCTGCTTCTTCAATCGGTGTGGCAATTTGTCCATGAGAGTTCCGCAGCTGTACTCGACGCCTACCTTGCGCAGGACTATATCTATTAATCAGTTGGAACAAGGCATGTGTGTCATGTCGACGGGCAGCGCTCTCTGCCTGTGCAACAATCTCAGAAAATCTGAGTTTTCGTACCTGTCTGGCCTGAATCTGAGAGGCACGTTTCAGTTGCTGCAACCTGATGGAGTGAAACCAACCCTGAAACAAACTGGAGAGATTACATGTTGTCAAGGAGAGAAGGCGTTGTCTGTGTTGCCATTTGGTTAAAACAACTGAAACAGTTCCAGCGTCTGGTGGTTTTTGTGGTTTTGACATGCGTGGAAAATAATCATGAAAACTTTCAATGGCTATTTCATGCAAATCAGAAATGAGACCATGATCTGAGAGCGAGGCTTGGGTCAAACGTGCATGCAGTCGCGCGCCAACATCATGAGTGAAATCGGTCCACTCTGGTGATTGGAGCCTAAATGCCTTATGGCCTTCCTGTCGTTGTGCCTTGCCTATGGTCGTGGCCATCATGGCTGGTGCGGCAGGAAACCAATGCTTTCTTATCGTGCTGAGCAGGGGTGCATGTCCTGATGTTTCACAAAAAGGTGCATCCCAGGCATAGGTGGTACGCTTTGCAAGGCCATCTGCATGTTGCATTCTAGTGATTAAATAATCTATGCGTGAGCATGATGTGCCCTGGATGTATGATGGACCACAGGAAGGGTCCCATGTGTTCAGGGCAGTGAGGCCATGCATTCTTAAGATGGACATGAATTGGCCTGCATCAGCATGGTGGCTACCTGAATGCATCTTTCCTTTCCACTTGAACTCCCGGGGCCCACTGTGCGATTGCAATTGGGGCAAGGAGCAGTTCATATCTCCTGCAAGGACAAGTGAGTGCCGGGTGGCCAACGTGCCAAGCAATCTATCCAGTTGGGACCAAAATTGACCTCGATCTGTCTGGCGCTGCTTGTGGTGGGCCTGGGTGTGTTGGTAACACCCAATGATATCCAAAAATCGATTGCTCTGCCGTACTTGAATGTGCACAAGGCGTCCAGGAATCACAGGGAGCCAGCGGATATCATTCTGTGAGCAGAGCTTCTTAGAAAGGATACATAAAATACCCATACCACGATGAGACGCAGAACCAGTGTGGATATGATGCCAATGGTCGTCTGTCCACTCATTCTCATAGGTCCAATGTGTCTCAGGCAAGATGGCTATGCTGACGTTCTGAATCAACATCCAGGTTTTCACTTCATCCAACTTTGCAGCAGAAAGTCCTCCAGGGTTCCAGGTGAGGACATTGACCCGACGGTGATCTTGGTTGTTCAGGTGACATTTGGTCAGCGTTGGGTTAATCTTGGAGGTCTGCTTGATGAAGTCGGGAGAACCATGATATTGGAGACCTTTGGGAAAATCATCAGGTCGGTAGCATCTGCCACGGTACCATGTGGTACCCAGGGCAACAGCCCGTTTGTATGCACGCTTGATGCTGCGTTTGACCACTTTGCTTGTAGCAGCATGCCAGGAGGGTGCATGTCTGCTTGCTTCAGGCCGCGGTTCATGAGACTTTGCGCCGCAATTGGCAATAAAAGCATGCTGCCATGTCGTCGACGCTTCAGTATCCTCCATGACAAGGATACAACCCTCACCCCTCACAGATCCTTGTAGTGCACAGTATAGCAGCAAGAACACACCAAAGCAGTGAAAAATTCTCGCGCTGCGCAAGCTGAAAAGGAGTGATCTGTGCCTGGACTTGGGACCAGGGCTGCCGTTGTTGGTTGAACAATGTCGGCGGGGGCTCAGTCTGTTTGTAAGTGCAAAATGCTCTGGGAAGCTGAGGTCAAATAAATCAAGATGTTGATCGATGCCAAAATGTTTCAATTCTCTGTATTGCCAAATGCTGTTGCAACGTGCCCACAGAAGCCGGAGGCAACAATCAATGCCAGTCGAGAAAAGAATCCACGAAATGATAATGGTTCGAAAACGCAGGAGAAGAAAAAAGCAGAGAAACAAGCAATACCACGTTCCGTTCAGCTGTAATCCAAAGGGAGAGCAGCTCAGGTCCAGATTCCCAAGGTCCAGACCGCGAAAAATAGTAGGCAGTGCTCTGCAATTGATCTCAAATGGCAATGGCTTGTCGCAGGCTGCAATGTGAAAATGATCGTCCCTGTATAAAAGCTCAGTGAAATTGCAAAAAGGTGGAAGGTTGCCACCACCAGTTAGGCCAGAGTCGGATGAAAACCAGGAGCCTACCCCGAGCAAAAAATTGTAAACCAGAAGAGCCAAATTGTAAAATGAATTGCAAAACGGTGGAAGGTTGCCACCACCAGTCAGGCCAGTATCAATTGGAAAATGGGAGCCCACCCCGATCGAAAAACTGAGTTGGCCGATGTAATCCCAATTGTAAAAATTATTGCAGTACAGTGGAAGGTTGCCACTACCAGAAGGGCCAGTGAAAGACGAGGTCTGGGAGCCCACCCCTTGTGCAAAAATAGTGTGAAAATATGGAGATGATATGCCTGTGGATCCAAATAAGTGCTTCTGTCTTCTCCGTCCAAAATCAAATCCAGGTGTATGAGTCGTTCCTCCCAGAGTTGGGGAGACAGGTGCGAGCTCCAAATCAATTGTCTGTCGCGCAATTTGAATGAAAGCAAAAATCAGAGCGTCACGTCTATTGCAAAAATCAAAATTGTGGAAGCTGTTGTGTCTGTGACACGGTGGAAGGTTGCCACCACCAGAAGGGCCAGGGAAGGTATGTCGGGAGCCTACCCCCTGAAAAATCCAGTCAAAATGGGAACAATCAGAAGGGGTGTCCAACCCCAGTTGTGCTGTCAAAATACCTCTGAGGCCAGTCTGTAATGTGTCACAGTCGCTGCAGTTGTAGGGAGAGGTCTGGTCTTCCCCCGATCGCAGGTGCAGAATATGAAAGAAAAACACAAGGAGCCTCAATCTCAACGTCGTGGTGTCAGCAGGTATGGCACCCCAGGTGCACCGCAATGAAGTTGCAGAGCAAACTGGAAATAAAATCCAAATAAAATTCACACGCAGTCAGCGAAGAATGTCAATCAGAAATGGGATGGGGACAAATAATAAAAAAATTCCAGCAGCAATGAATGGCACAACGAATGGCGCAAATGGCAACGGTCAACACAAATCCTAGCCCAGGGCAATGAACACCTACACTCCGTAGAGCAGCTTGAGCGCCGCGCTCGTGGCGGCAGAGGGGCTTGTGTGTGTGTGTGTGTGTGTGTGTGTGTGTGTGTGTGTGTGTGTGTGTGTGTGTGTGTGTGTGTGTGTGTGTGTGTGTGTGTGTGTGTGTGGTGTGTGTGTGTGTGTGTGTGTGTGTGTGTGTGTGTTGTGTGTGTTGTGTTTGTTTGTTTGTGTGTGTGTGTAACATCTGAATAGATGTAAAACTTCTTCTCTCTCTTTTTCTTCCTTTGTCCTCTCCCTTTCTAATTCTAAATTAAAGTTAATGCAGGGGGCCACCGGGGTCCCGGGGGGGTCGGTGGCCACCGAAGACACCCCCCCGGGACCCGTGTAAACGTACCTGCATTAATCGTTAATTTTATTGTTTCGTATCTAATCTGCATGTTTCAGGATTCAGTTCCTGACGGATCATATAATGATCCATTCTTGTCTAGTGTGATTTCCATGGTGGCTCCGACATGGTGCCATGGAGCCATTTGAGGCAACCCTTTTTAGGGTGAGTGATGACTGTCCTGACTGCCGAATTAACACTTTTCAATTTAGTAATTCGTTTACGTAAATTGCAACAGCTGGCCTTACGGTTTATCAGCCTTGTTGAATGTCCCGCGGCTCCGGACGTCCCGGGGATCCCAGTGCTCTGCTCTTTCAAGTGAAGCCATACTGAACATTCAGAAACCTCTTATTCTGCAGCACTTTCACAGCGACATTTGGCAACATTACATGAAACTGGATCAGGCAGGCTCATGTCTTTCAGGTGTGGTCTTTTTCCTTTTGATGGTTGTCTGGTGAGGTGAAACATGTTGTGCACCTAATTCGCTGGAACTTGACAGCCGTTTTATGCCAATTGGGGCAAGACTTGACCACGGTCCCGGTGCAGGGAACAATCGCACGACCTTTCGGCATTTAGGGACTGAATCCTGTTTTTAATTAATTGTTTTGGTTTTCCTGTCGGTCATCAACTAGTCCCCCATTTGGTCCCTAATTTTTCCCCGCGTGCCTCTCCGTAATGTGTCGTGGGGTTTAGGTGTGTGCGCTGTTTTGTTCAGGTCCGTTTCGCCGTGTAGGTTGGTTCCGGAGGTCCGTCTGTTCCCCTCCCCCCCCTGCGCTGTTTTTGGCCGTTTGCCCTTCGTGTTTCCGCTTTTTTCTTCCTCTTGCCTTTCAGGGTTGACCCGGCTCCGGCCGGGTGTGTGTGTGTGTAACATCTGAATAGATGTAAAACTTCTTCTCTCTCTTTTTCTTCCTTTGTCCTCTCCCTTTCTAATTCTAAATTAAAGTTAATGCAGGGGGCCACCGGGGTCCCGGGGGGGTCGGTGGCCACCGAAGACACCCCCCCGGGACCCGTGTAAACGTACCTGCATTAATCGTTAATTTTATTGTTTCGTATCTAATCTGCATGTTTCAGGATTCAGTTCCTGACGGATCATATAATGATCCATTCTTGTCTAGTGTGTGTGTGTCTCTGTCTCTACATCACTGTAGTTGCAGCCAGGGGTGCCAACGATTTCCGATTCATTTGCAGTCACTAGAGTTCATTCCTCAAGTGTTTTTGTTTCCAACAATTCCTCTTATGTCATAGCCATGGTTGGCAGGGTTTGCATGCTATTGAGCGTTTGCTGTGCTGGGCCCACTGTTGTCACGTTTCAAAATGCAGCTCTGCTCTGGCTGTATGAATCAGAATGGTTCAAAGCAGCAGGGTTGTAGAAGACGGCGTACCTATTGTTCTCAAAGCAGGTTCAAGAATAGATAGCAACAGGAGACAAGCCATGTAAACTCATGCTACAATACATATCATATAGGTATAGCAAAACCTCCAGCCAGACAGTTTCAGTAGATCCTTTACTCATGTCAGTCGCCGCCGAAGCCGCGGCCTGCTTGGCAGAGAAGAAGGTGACAGAACTCCGAGCAGCCCTTCTGCTGAACCAAAGGCACATACGAAATTGCCAGCAGCAATCTCGCAGAGAAGCTGCCTCGCTGCTCAAAGGCGGCCTTTCTTGCCACTCTGAGCGAAAAGTTTTGGCCGTCTATGCTTTGTCAAACTGGGATTTGAGTTTGGCTCTGCGAGCGGCACAGCGGCTGTCCCGATTACCCCAATGTTCTGCAGCATTTCCAACATCAGATTTTGTCAGAGCTCTCTTTCGTAACCACAATTGGGAGGACTTTTTGATGTTACATGATGAAGGCTCAGCACTTTGGGGACCTGCCCGAAAGTTTGCACGGCAGTTCCTCCTGGAACACGATGCTTGGTGTTGGGTGAAGCGTCAAAACCTTTCTCAAGGCGTGGCACCATCAGCGGCAGATGTGTTTCATTACTATGAGAACAAGGCGCTTCAGGTGGAACCTTGTGGACAGCCTCGCCGCAGGACTGTTAACAAATGGGCTGCTCGTTGGCGGGCTCGGTGGGGTGTTCGCAGGGCATGCCTGCGGTCAGCTGACACAGTGGATCCCAGCATTTTGCGGGACAAGGCAAGAATGGGCACAAAAGCCGGGTCGCTTTTTTTGAACCCTTTTTTGGTTGAAAATGAAAGCATCCCTGGTTTCTGGGGCCGCTTTTTGGGACACAAATGGGTCGCTTTTCTAGGGCCCCAAAACATTGTACTTGAGCCATTTTTTAAAGTCTTGTTTGCCACTTTTTTGAGACCCGAATCTTCGTTTTGCCAGGTGAAGGCGTTCTGGAGATCCATTGCCTATGTGACCGAGAAATTTGGCCACCAGGAACTGGTTTGGATCAACTTCGATGAAACTTCTGTTCCTTGCTGTCCACCATGTCCGAAAGGTTGCGTGGTGAATGACTGGAAGTCTTACCCCGTGCCAGGGGGTCCACAAATGCTGGTCCCCAAAAGTCGGCGGAGGATCGCCTACACATACGGGGCCTTGCTTTGCAGTCATCCGGGCATTCAAGCGGTGCTGCCGCACTTCCTGGTTTGCAGCGAGAAGAGGCTTCCCCAGACTGTCGCCAAAGGTTTTGCAGCGCTGCCACCGACGAGGTTGCGGCTTCTTCGCAGAAAATCTTCTTGGGTGACAACAGATTGCATGATCCGAATTTTGGCAGATGTGAGAGAGGCGCTCCAGCCTTGGCTTCCAATGGTTAAACCAATACTCGTTTTGGACACAGCATCTCCTCATCTACCTAAAAGGTTGATGTCTTTTGCCAAAAGGAAAGGTTTTCAGCTTCTTTTTGTGCCAGCTTCCAGCACTGGCCTGCTACAGCCGCTAGACACAAGTGCTTTCAGTGCATTCAAGCATTGGATAAAAAGAAAAAACCAGCAGCTGCGGCGCACCGCCCAAGGCGGTGAACCGCAGCAGCTTGAGTTTCTGTGGCAACTGGGTCAAGCTCCTCGAGAATTTTTCGCCAGCAGACAATGGGCCCACGCTTTCGAAAGCGTTGGGTGCGGGCGAGATGTGACAAAGTTGCATTCCGCCTTGCGAAATTTCATGCAGAATCCAGTGTCCTTACCGCTTCCTGCCGAACCCACTCCGGCAGAGATGGCTCTCATTTGGCCTAAAAGGCGAAAGATGAGCTATGCGGATGCATGTTTGTTCTGATAACACCAAAGGTGTTGAAGTCCAGATCTGCTGTTGCAAAAAGGCAGATGCAACCGGAGAGCAGCAAGTGTGACACTGTGAGGGCCCATGGCCTTGAAGCTTCCAAGGTTTCATTTTAGGGGGCTGGAAATGTAGGCCCTGTATCAGTGATGGTTCCAAGCCGAGCTTGTCATAGTATAAACACTACAGGTTCACATAATATATATTTATAAACTGTTTCTTGATACTTTTACCAGAAAACTACCCAAACATCTTCACATGCAACGCAGATGGTACAGGAAATGCATCAGGGCAGCTGGGATGACCAATGGGTTCTGCAGCCTTTTTGCTACAAAAGCCTCAAGCGTTTGGAACCCACCGTGGTTCAGCTACTTCTCTTTTTACCATGTCGGATGATGCAGCTGCCACTGCACCAGCTGCCGCAGTGCCAGCTGGAGCTGCACCACTCACTCGTGGACAAGACCGGTTGCCAGCCTTACGCGCAAAGGGCTTCGTACATGCTGAAGCAGGTTCACAGCTGAAAGAATGCATCAGGGCATTGGGATGACCAATGGGTTCTGCAGCCTTTTTGCTACAAAAGCCTCAAGCGTTTGGAACCCCCGTGGTTCAGCTACTTCTCTTTTTACCATGTCGGATGATGCAGCTGCCACTGCACCAGCTGCCGCAGTGCCAGCTGGAGCTGCACCACTCACTCGTGGACAAGACCAGTTGCCAGCCTTAGGCGCAGCAAGGGCCGTGCTGAAGCAGCAGCTGAAAGAATCGACCAAAGAGATTCGCAAGGAGGCAGGTGCCACTCAAATTCTCATTCTTGTGGGGGACATGAGCCCTGAGCTTGCCAGGGTTGATGCATGTCAACAAACGTTGGCCATGTGACTGCATGCGCGCCTGTCAATATCTTTCTTGCCAGGTTCGCCGCAGATCTCGTCTCATGAAAAAAGCCCAAGGCTTACGACGGGTGACCTGGCTTGGCTCATTGCTCGCCGTGCAGCTGAGTGAGGTTACAGCATTCATGCTTCCGAAAAGGATGCGGTTGAGCTGCAGCAGAAATCATCCTCATTTTCTTCAAAAGCAGAAGGTGAGCTATGCGGATGCATACGCCGAAGGCGTTGAAGTCAACATCCTTGCGCCTGTTTGAAAAAAGTCGCTTATTGGGTCATCAAAGTGACTGTTTGGAAAGCCAAGGGCGACATGTCAGGGAGTGTTACGTTCGAAAATGTTGCAAGGAGAGACAAATGTGAATTCAATCAAGGCATCAGGTTCAAAGATTCCCATGTTGAATCCTTCGCCAATCCCAATTTCATGTGCCGAAATCACTTTGGATGTTTTATCTTTCGCGGCCTCTGGCAAAGTCAGAATTCTCATGGCCATGCGGTTTGAGCTGATCAAATGTTCCGCCCTTGCCATTTTACCCTTGGTGTGGAGAACAGATTTTGGAGCCAAATCCTATAGACACGGAGCAAAATAAAGTTAAAACATTTCAAAATACTGTTAGGAGCTTGTTGAGCAAATCCCACAGGCACGGAGCCAAATAAGGTTAAGACATCTCAAAATACTGTTAGGAGCTTGTTGGGCAAATCCTATAGGCACGGAGCAAAATAAGGTTTAGAAAGTCCACATAATAAGAAAATGAATAGAATCATCTAATTCTTTTGATTGTGAATTTCCAGGTTCTTAACCTTATTTGCTCCAATTCCATTAGGATTGCAGTCCGGAAGTCTTCCCTGTATTTTTCGAATCCTTAACCTTATTTGCTTCACTTACATTGGGATTGCACTCTGGAAGTCTTACCCTTATTTCGCCACCCCTTACCCTGATTGCTCCATTTACATTAGGATTGCACCACGCAAATTGACACTCACCTCCCGGAGCCTCATCCTTATCATCTCATCACACAATTTTCAGCATATTGCCGGATGTGGCGGCAGCTCGGCTGCTGGCGGCTGTGGCGGCTGTGGCGGCTGTGGCGGCTGCTGCTGGCTATGGCGGCTGCTCGTGGATGCAGCGGCTGTGGCGGCTGCTGCTGGCTGTGGCGGTTGCTCGTGGATGCGGCGGCTGTGGTGGATGCGGCAGCTTGGTGGATGCGGGTTGCTATGGCAGAGGCCATCGGCTTCAGCGCCATCACCTGGAGGGAGGGTTCACATCATATTGGCACTTGTTGGCTAGATTTTCCTCCTAAGTTTGCAAGTAGATGAGATTTGGCATTGGGTTGTTGCGGCTGGCCGTGGCTAGGGCGCCTGCGTTTCTTTCGTTTGTGTCTTGTCCTCCTTGTGGTCTTTGTCCCTGTCTTCTTGTATCTCTCCCCTGTTTCTCCCCTCGTTTGTTTTCCTGCCATTGTCGCCCTGTGCAGGTGCCTACAGCGACCTCGAGCTCTACACGCAGCGGCCCCTTGGCTTGCTTGTGGTTGCTGCTTGCTGCTACTGCTGCTGGTGTTGCTGCTGCTGTCGCTGTTGTTTGTTGCTGGCCTGGCTGCTTCTGCTGGTTGCTGCTGCTGCTGCCGGTTGCTGTTGCTTCTGGTGGCTGTTGCTGCTGTTGTCTTCCTGTCGCTGTTGTTCTTGCTGCTTGTGATTGTTCTTGCTGTTGGTGTCGTTGTTGGTGCTGCTGTTGCCCCTTTTTGGTACTCTTTCTCTCTTTCTCTTGCTTTCTTTCGCCTTGTTTCCCTCTCTTCTGCTTGCCCTCTCTCTCTCCCTGTCCTGCTCGTTGTCTTTGTGGCTGTTTGTCTTGTCTGTTCTCTCTTCCTTGTTCTCTCCGTCTCTGTCTGTCTCTGTCTCTATACTCTCTGACCTTGACCTCTACTCCCTAGCCCGGCCAGCACTATCACTTCTGACTGCGCCAGACTGAAGTGACAGAATCAGTTTGACTCAAAGTATGACTCGCAGTATGAATGCAGTATGAATCAATGAATGAGATAAGCAGGTAGGAAATGGCGGAATGATGGCGGAATATTTGATCTACTTGAGCTGAGCTATGGTATGGTATATCTTACACATTGTCCAGTTGCAGCCGCATCGTCAGCCGCAGTTTTTTTTTGAGCAGCCTTGTAGAAAACAGCCCAGGAGTCACAACCTATATGGTAATCGATCTAAAGGTCCTTGCAAAGAGTTTTAATTGCGAAGACCGTTCATGTTATGCTGGAAACCCGTGCGAAAGTTTTTTTTCGCGTTCGCGAAAGTAACCTTTTCATCCGCGAAAGTTTCGCGAACGTTGGACATTGTCCTCATTCTGTCACGGGCTGCCACCCACTGCCGCCCGGGGTCTGGCAGGAGAAGGGCACCGGAGAATTTCGGTTTGGTTCTGGTTCAGTTGCCTGTGTGGTGGCTTCATAGGTAGCAGCCGAGCTTCCAAAGGTGAGGCTTCGCGACAGCCAAACACTATGGTCCTGAAGCACATCCTTGCACCTGCCGCTGTCACTGCCTAATGATGCTTTTTGAAGTGTCAAGAAAGAAGCTCCACATGCAGCAGCCAAGTTTCCAAAAGGGAGGCTTTGCAAGAGCCAAACACCAAGGCCCCTGGTGTTCCCTTTTCTTTCGATGCGACCCCCGCTGATGGCCAGGGTCTGTGAAGAGGGATATTTCCGCGAACGGTCCGCGAAAGTTCTGCGACGGAGCGGGCGAAAGTCGAAGTCCATGTTGAAGGGGGTGGGTCAGTAAACCTTGCCAAAAACAAACCGAGTCAGCAACAATCTGTCCTGAGAAGGGATTCCGTGATGCTAGCTGCATGTTTAAAAGGCAATCAAGAAGTGATCCGTGATTCTCTGGCGTACTTTGGCAGGTGGTGAACGAATCTTCATAAGAGGCGTTGTTGCCCAACATGGGCTCCGCGAAAGATGAACGTGGAGTTTGCGAAAGTTTTGCGAAAGTAACATGTTTATTCACGAAGAATGGCCGTTTGCGGATAAAGTAATTTTGATCAACAACCATATAACATATGCCAATGTGAATGCGTTTTTGAAGGCTGCTTTATTCTAATTCACACGTATGCTTGCATCATTCAATGGCATGAAGCGCCGGAGATTGCGGTCAAAGCAAAGGCCTCCCCCATGCTATGATGAAAAAAGAGATAGTGAGGACGGTCATGTTTTACCACTTGCTGCGAGTGCAGCTGTTGCAGTTGGCGAGAGTCATGCATGTGAGGCGGGCCCTGCAGAAGCGGAAATTGTTGATGCTGCAAACGCAGCCCTTGCTGAAGCTGTGGACAATGATGGGCATGAAAATGCAGATGCCGCTATTCGTTGGCAGTTGCTGAGTACGTATAAGACTGTGCAAGGCTTGGTTGCAGCTGTGATTCGTGAGAAGAGCGATGAGGAGCTCCACAACATTTCAATCAACATCATCTTGGACGATATCCAGGCAAAAGCTTCCAACAAAATCAGCATGTCAGAACTTCTGGAGGAGAAAGACGAGTTTGTAGCGGCTACAATGTCCGCAGTTCCAAAAGAGCTCTCTCGACGATTGCTTCTTGCTGTGAACAAGCCACAGGCGCATGCCGGGCGACCAGCACAAATAGATTCACAATGTGTCCAAAAGACTTACCTGCTCACCTTCTCCAACCTGGATCCAAGCAATGCTCCCACCAGGGAAACCATCCTTGAGACCGTCTTGCAGGCATTTGGCGCTGCAGGCTATGGTTCGGATGTTTGCGTGACGCATGCCTGCGTCTTCCGGGAGACGCATGGCAGTGGGCAGTGGCACTTCCATGTGCCGACAGCATTGTCGCACCCTTGTCGATGGGTTGGATGGAAAAAAGAGTTGTCGAAAGCTGGCTACATTGCTCATTTTGCAAACATGGCTATTGATGACCACAGCAAGCACAGAAAAATGCAATATGCCCATATGTTGCGGTACCTCTGGTTGCCATCTGACAAGAAGGGCCTGTCCGCCTTGGACAAAGATCCCTTGTTGTGGTGCAGTGGGGGCCGGAAGCATCCGCCTCTTCTAGATGCGATCAATGGGGTCTTGGACAGTACTGCAATTGAAGAGAAGGTGGCAGAGCGTTTTTTGCAGCGTTGGTCTGCGGGCAAGCGTGGGCCATGCAAATTCTCTGACTTGGAGTTATGGCCAATAGTGAAAGAGCTTGGGCTCACTGTCGATGACCCTGTCCTGCTTGCTAAACTCCTTCAGCATGGGCGAAATTCCGGAAATGAAAGATTGCTGAACTACCTCTTCCGCACAAACAACACCATCAGAGAGAAGGTCGCCATGTGCTGCACACTAGAATCATGTGATCGCGTCATCGCAGATTCTCAGACAACTACGTGGAAGCGTGTCACTGCCGCCTTGGGGCGACAGTGTTGTTGTGACAGAACTTGGGCACCAGCAGCTCGCGAGATTCTCCGCAACAATGACATTGAGGAGGGGAAGCTTTGCCAACATTTGCGTCAGGCCCTCATGCTGGGCATGCAGAAGAAGGGAGACGCAGTATGCTTCACAGGTTCCGGAAACGAGGGCAAAAGCTTCATTTTGAAGCCATTGCGTGAAATTTTCCAGCGCGTGCCTTGGCTACCACTTTCACATCACATGGTTTCTGACCCTCACCGTTTCCCAATGATCATATTTTTTAAAAAGATCCACTTGCGGACAAGTTTCTGCCCCCCGGGGGGACTCAAGTACTATGCACATATTTGTTTATGCCCGAGACGAGTCCAGTAACTGGGAATTGATTCTTGTAACGGGATTTTCACGCCTTGGTACCATCGAGATCTATCAACCTGTAACTATGGGGACCAACAATACCCAACTCTTGCCATGCATTCTTAACATGGTAGACCTTATTTCCTTGTTTGTGGCCTCTCCTTTTTGGACGGCCAGACGTTGATGTGCCCTCCTCAGAGCAGCCGAGGTGTTCGCCTGTCCAGCTCGAGGGTCGTATCCTCTCTTAGATTTGCCGCAGTCCCAAGTGGTCATTTTAGATGATTGGAGACCTGACCATGGAGCCTTGGATGTCAGCAGTACCTTATTATGGTTGGAAAGTGCGACGCTACGCATCAATCGGCCATTGAACTTGTACAGTGGCCATTTGGATTTTCGACCGACACAACCAACTTTTCTCACATGTAACTGGCAATCGTTGTTTGTGCCGAAAGGGTGCTGGTCCGAGAGTGAGTTGCTGATGCTCCGGTCCAGACTGACCATTTACCGTTTCCAGCATAGAATCGAAAATTTGAAGGACATCCCGGCATGTCCATGTTGCTTCACCATGTTCATACTCTCCGGAGGGAAAAATGTAGCAAAATTTCTTGCTGCAGGATTCCCGAGTGTCTAGCTGTGTGCTGACTGCACCTAATTAAATGTTAAAGGAGCCGCTGTCACTGGTCCATCCGTTTTGCATGTTTCTCCCGACAACATAGAAAGTACCCAGCCCCATATAAAAACCCCTCGCCCCGAAATCAAAGTTGATTGTTTCATTGGACCTGGATCCGCGGCAGTGACGCTGTACTATATTTGGATGCCAGCAAGTCTCCAGTTTGCGAAAAACAACATTGATTTAGAGGGGCATGGGGGAGGATGATGGTATGACTTCTTTCCCTCTGCCTCTGATTGCATTTCATTGCCTTCGTTTCTGCCGGTGCTTTCTGCATATATCTCTCCGCCTTGTTGCTTCCATTTCTGCAGCTCAGGTTTGTGGCCCATCGCAGACACTCGTGGGGGACAGAAAAAGGGCCTGATTCGGCAGCATGAGCCAGTGTCGTACTTGTGGCCCCTCCTTGTGTGTGTGTGTGTCTCTGTCTCTACATCACTGTCGTTGCAGCCAGGGGTGCCACCGATTTCCGATTCATTTGCAGTCACTAGAGTTCATTCCTCAAGTGTTTTTGTTTCCAACAATTCCTCTTATGTCATAGCCATGGTTGGCAGGGTTGGCATGCTATTGAGCGTTTGGCGTGCTGGGCCCACTGTTGTCATGTTTCAAAATGCAGCTCTGCTCTGGCTGTATGAATCAGAATGGTTCAAAGCAGCAGGGTTGTAGACGACGGCGTACCTATTGTTCTCAAAGCAGGTTCAAAAATAGATAGCAACAGGAGACAAACCATGTAAACTCATGCTACAATTACATATCATATAGGTATAGCAAAACCTTCAGCCAGACAGTTTCAGTAGATCCTTTACTCATGTCAGTAGCCGCCGAAGCCGTGGCCTGCTTGGCAGAGAAGAAGGTGACAGAACTCCGAGCAGCCCTTCTGCTGAACAAAAAGCACATACGAAATTGCCAGCAGCAATCTCGCAGAGAAGCTGCTTCGCTGCTCAAAGGCGGCCTTTCTTGCCACTCTGAGCGAAAAGTTTTGGCCGTCTATGCTTTGTCAAACTGGGATTTGAGTTTGGCTCTGCGAGCGGCACAGCGGCTGTCCCGATTGCCCCAATGTTCTGCAGCATTTCCAACATCAGATTTTGTCAGGGCTCTCTTTCGTAACCACAAGTGGGAGGACTTTTTGATGTTACATGATGAAGGCTCAGGACTTTGGGGACCTGCCCGAAAGTTTGCACGGCAGTTCCTCCTGGAACACGATGCTGGTGTTGGGTGAAGCGTCAAAACTTTTCTCAAGGCGTGGCACCATCAGCGGCAGATGTGTTTCATTACTATGAGAACAAGGCGCTTCAGGTGGAACCTTGTGGACAGCCTCGCCGCAGGACTGTTAACAAATGGGCTGCTCGTTGGCGGGCTCGGTGGGGGGTTCGCAGGGCATGCCTGCGGTCAGCTGACACAGTGGATCCCAGCATTTTGCGGGACAAGGCAAGAATGGGCAAAAAAGCCGGGTCGCTTTTTTGGAACCCTTTTTTGGTTGAAAATGAAAGCATCCCTGGTTTCTGGGGCCGCTTTTTGGGACACAAATGGGTCGCTTTTCTAGGGCCCCAAAACATTGTCCTTGAGCCATTTTTTAAAGTCTTGTTTGCCGCTTTTTTGAGACCCGAATCTTCGTTTTGCCAGGTGAAGGCGTTCTGGAGATCCATTGCCTATGTGACAGAGAAATTTGGCCACCAGGAACTGGTTTGGATCAACTTCGATGAAACTTCTGTTCCTTGCTGTCCACCATGTCCGAAAGGTTGCGTGGTGAATGACTGGAAGTCTTACCCCGTGCCAGGGGGCCCACAAATGCCGGTCCCCAAAAGTCGGCGGAGGATCGCCTACACATACGGGGCCTTGCTTTGCAGTCATCCGGGCATTCAAGCGGTGCTGCCGCACTTCCTGGTTTGCAGCGAGAAGAGGCTTCCCCAGACTGTCGCCAAAGGTTTTGCAGCGCTGCCACCGACGAGGTTGCGGCTTCTTCGCAGAAAATCTTCTTGGGTGACAACAGATTGCATGATCCGAATTTTGGCAGATGTGAGAGAGGCGCTCCAGCCTTGGCTTCCAATGGTTAAACCAATACTCGTTTTGGACACAGCATCTCCTCATCTACCTAAAAGGTTGATGTCTTTTGCCAAAAGCAAAGGTTTTCAGCTTCTTTTTGTGCCAGCTTCCAGCACTGGCCTGCTACAGCCGCTAGACACCAGTGCTTTCAGTGCATTCAAGCATTGGATAAAAAGAAAAAACCAGCAGCTGCGGCGCACCGCCCAAGGCGGTGAACCGCACTGTGGCAACTGGGTCAAGCTCCTCGAGAATTTTTCGCCAGCAGACAATGGGCCCACGCTTTCGAAAGCGTTGGGTGCGGGCGAGATGTGACAAAGTTGCATTCCGCCTTGCGAAATTTCATGCAGAATCCAGTGTCCTTACCGCTTCCTGCCAAACCCACTCCGGCAGAGATGGCTCTCATTTGGCCTAAAAGGCGAAAGATGAGCTATGCGGATGCATGTTTGTTCTGATAACACCAAAGGTGTTGAAGTCCAGATCTGCTGTTGCAAAAAGGCAGATGCAACCGGAGAGCAGCAAGTGTGACACTGTATATCTAGGTAAATTATGATATTTCCTGGTTGGTGGTTGAGCCCTACCCCTCTGAAAAATATGATTTCGTCAGTTGGGATGATGATATCCCCAAGATATGGGAAAATAAAAAATGTTCCAAACCACCAATCAGATAAAATTTACCGACAAGTTATATCGAACTAGTTAATGGGGATTATAAACCAACGTTCACATAACTAGGGGGTACCACCTTGTAGATATACTATTGCTATCCCTATGGATCCAGTTGTATTCTCAGGAAGTACGACTGGGGTATGATGACTAGGGGGTGTCAGCCGTACCTTCTCAGACAGTGGCCATGGATCCATAGGGTAGTACCCCTGGTAAACTAACATAACTATGGAAAATCACCATTTTCAATGGGTAAATCCACTATAAATGGCCATTTTCAATAGCTATGTGAGTTTACCAGAGGGTATGACCTAAGTACAGCCGCCTGTTGATTGGTCACAAACCCAGAATTTGGCAACACGACGAACACAACCGTGGTTGGTTTCTCACCAGGCAGCGTCTATTGATCCGCCGCAGCGCTTCGAACATGGCCAATCTTCACCAACGTCTTGCTGCTTACCATCTGGTTATTTGTTACATAGCCATGGTATAGATGGCCCTAATCGAAATAGATGGTTTACCAAACTTAATAGCATGGTGGATCTGTCCATGGCAAACTGTGAATGTCATAACCAGGTTGGGTAGTTTAACATACCCCCATTTCTGGCATCCAGAAACAATGTCCCCGGGGTGAATGTCACTGAAAATCCCCGATTTCCCGAAGGTACACGTACAAGAAGATGTGGAAAACCCATATTAGCGGAATCATGCGGACAATGACCTACAAGTTGAGCCCTCCCCAATTATAAGTTGGTTTATATTAAAACAGATTCACAGTATAGATATATCTACCATAAACCATAGCTAAATAATATTAATACATATATATATATGTGGGTAAACTATAATATTTCACTAACCTGAATTAAGGCCCATTTGGGGATGATTTCCCTTACTAACCATGATTCCAGGGCTCGGTCGCAGTGAGGTCGTTATAATTTACCCAGATAAATGATAGAGGTGTCCTAAAATAGGGGTACCCTCAATCATCCAAGTCACCAAAGACCAGTTGAGTATTGAAAGCTAAGGTAATTTGTGACGATTGGGGATCCCCCATTGGTGGAAACTCCCATAGATCTACGAAACATTGTTAACTATAGATATATGGAGCATATGGGATAGTTCAACCACAATAACTCTAGATATATATAAATATAACATAGTTAAATAGCATAAATCATAGTTAACTATAGATACATCTGCGATAACCATGGTTATATATATATATACAACAATAGCAACCATAGATATATGATGATATATCTACCGTCTACCAAACATGTTTTTTTCTATGTTTTCTTGACCCTCCTTAAAACTGGGTCCAGCCCTCAAGCCATCTCAACGCTGCGGGCCTCCGAAGCTCGTCGGACAGCTTCGACATGCCGGGCGTGGGCATTGACCGTTGCAGTTTCGACACGTTTTTTGCGTGGCGCATTCTGTTGGCAAAAATATGGTGACTGGTGTCGATAGTTTCATTTGGCAAAGCAGCAACTTTTTCGGAAACCATTTTTTTGATACCCTCTGGTAAACTAACATAGCTATTGAAAATGGCCATTTATAGTGGATTTTCCCATTAAAAATTGTGATTTTCCATAGTTATGTTAAATTACCAGAGTGTAGAAGTTGACTTTTGGTTGATGGCTTGAAAAATGGTTTTATGTCACCAAAATTCTCTCATTCAGCTCCTCAAAAGCTGGAAGAATCGGCGCAGGGACGGAGTCGTGTTTAGCGGACCTGGGGGGGTTGCCAGTTGGCTCTGAAAGTGGTTGGTACCGGTAGGCTTAACCCAAACTTGCCGTTGTTGTGGGGAACGAGATGTTCACAACCCTGGTATTTTGGGCTGTTGTTCCAATAAAATGTTGGGGAATTTCATCCTGGGGAGCTACCCACGGGCAGGATCCAGTCCAAGTCTGCCTCCCTGGCCACAAAAAGATGATAAACAACTAGAATCTGTACAGGATGGGGTTTTGCATGTTCTCCCACATCACAATCACGCAAGTCTCCAACAGTTTTAAGCAAACTCATTACAGTTGTTGGTTCTGCATCCCAGTATATCACCATGATATATATATATATATATTAATATAATTATATATATAGACATTCCCATTAATAACACAGCCATAAAGTGGTTTCTTTGTGTGGATGGAACAGTCGTCCTACACTTGAAATCGAGAAGTGTAACAAGTTTTCTTTTGGAGTTGAGAAGAATAGCATGGCCCCTGCGCATTCACTTGTAGCAGCATGGCCTTCCTGCCAAGGATGACACGCACAGACATGTGCACTCTTTTGTTCATGGCTCAAGAAAAATAGGAGCGGTGCAGCTCACTGGCGCGGTACCTGTGCCTTCACAGGTTATGAGCCCAAAGAGGCCTTGGGGCGCACTTCGTCGCTGAGCTGCTGGCATGGATATGCGCCGACGCAGCCGAGGCAATGGTGGCCGGAGTGAGTCCGCAGATGAAAGGCTTGATCGCCTGATAGCTATGGAGAGGAGAGCAAGGTCTACACCTCCAGCAAGGGGGGAGCAGCATGAGCTGAGGCGCTTGAAGATGGTGCCTGAGGGGAGCGAGAGCTCAGCAGTCTCTGGTGATGCGGCTGCTGCGCATGGAGGTCAACGAGGTGGAGCAGATGGGACAGCTTTGGTGGATGTGCCGAGGCCAGCTCACTTGCCCCTGGACTTCGGACAGCCAGCTCGAGATCCTCAAGGTCTTCTAGCTCCTTTGGTTCGGGGCGCTCTTGGTGATGGTCGAGCTCTACAAGCTGATCAGGGTCAAGTTGGACATTCAGGTCAAGTTCAACACGGCGATCAAGGAGGTCGTGCTCAGGTGAACGATGGGTCAATGACTAGGAGGGGCACGGAGACAGTGAACCCTTTCTGGAGTTCTGATGTGAGGAGAAATGCTCTCATGTCAGGTCAAGGACGTCTACCAGGTGACGTGGGGCTGACTCGCAACTTGCAGCCGGTGATGGATGCAGCGGGAAGCGGCCGGACTGGCCAGGACCTGGATGAAGGTGAACTTGAGAGGATCCGGCAAAGGGTCCTGCGTGAAGCGGAGGAGAACTTCAAGCTGGAGATCAGGAAGCTTCGTGGTGAGGTGGGGACAGACTCCAGGTCTTACCATTCGGCTTCATCTGGTGGTGACCAGGGAGCTCCTTCGGCAGCGCAAGGTGATAGAGCAGCTTCTGGAGCTACTACAACTCCACTTCGGGGGATTGGCATGGCTTGGCAGCGATGTCAACTCCTGGACAAGGAGATCGCGGTGGTGCTGTGGTCAATGGAACGCCAGTGGCAGGTGTTCCTTCTCCGCCTGGTTTGGATCAACGAGGTGGTCTTCCTGGTGCTGGAGCTCAAGGGGGGTTTGGGGAGTCGCTGAAGAGCCAGGAGCTCCCAGCCATGCCGGCTCCGGGTGTGGAAGGGGCTTCATTAGCCTTTGGAGACTGGCTTGCACTGGCTAGTCCACAAATGTCAGACATTGGAGCGGTATCCCGGGATTGGTGGATCTATGTCTTACAGCAGGTGGAGGAGCACTATGAAAGATGGTTGGTGGCTGGTCATGTGGATCGCCTTCGCCTACGTCCTGGTGATGCTCAACTTCCTGTCAGAATTTCAACGGGTTGAACAACGTGGGGTGTCAATGCTTCTGGCAGCTTCTCCGGAGATGATCAAGCGAGACTTGGTGGCTTCCAGAACTTTGACATCAACTGGAATCCTTTTTCGGATGTTCACGGTGTATCAGCCTGGTGGTGGAGTGGAAAAGGCAGCACTTCTCAAGCAGGTGACCGAGCCAAAGATCGGGTCGTCAGTGGTGGACCTTCTTGGAGGACTTAGTCAGTGGAGGAGGCTGTTGGGTCGGGCTGCAGAGCTACGTTTGGCTCTTCCTGATCCTGTGGTGCTTTCGTCGGTGCTGGGTCGCATGGCGGACGCTTTGGCCAAGGTTGGTGGTCTTCAGGTGGGCTATCGCATCTCAGCGGTGAGGCAGGAGCTCATGGTGGACACCCGGCCGACTATGGAAGCGGTGAGGGACTATGCTGAGGTCCTGCAGGCAGAAGCTGAGGAGTTGGCGCTGGTGACGAACTCAAAGATGTTCTCTACGGCATCAACGGCTGCTCCGGTTTTGAAGGCTCTTCAAGTGGCCGGTCAGGATGGTTCTTCAACTTTGCCGGCATCAACCAGCACAAAGGGTCCATGTAGATACTGGAAAACCGATGAGGGTTGCAAACGGGGTGCGGCTTGCACCTTTCAGCATGACATGGAAGGAATGCGTGGCCGGTGTTGGTCATGTGGGGGCTCAAATCACCTCAAAAAGGATTGTCCTCACAAAACAGCTTTGGGTGGCATCAACGGCGTCGACACCAAAACGCCGAGAAGGGTCAGTAAGATCAAGGAAAGGATGACTCCGGAGAAGGGTAGTCCTGGTGCAGCTCAAGGGGAGAAGGTCGCCAAGGTGGTTGCACAGGATGAGGTCAAAGGGGCATCAACGGATGGGGTTGCAGCTGAAAAAGAGCCTGTGAAGGCTCCGGTGTCTGTTGCTCCTGCTCAAGTTCAAGAAGCTCCCAAGGAGACGGCGGCAGATCTGATGAAGGAGGCTGCAAGCCTTCTCAAGTCTTTGAGGAGCGTCAAATCGATTAAGCTGAAGCAGGTGATCTTGGACGAGAGCTCTGGTGTGGGCCAATGGGCACTACTGGATGGTGGTGCTACTCACGCACTTCGGCGAGCTCGGGTGGATGAGCTTGAGGGCCTTGTGGCAGTCGAGGTGGAGCTTGCCAGTGGTTCTACAACTTTGTATCGCTCCAAGGATCATCAAACTTTGTTGTCTTTGCATGAGGTGGAACCAATTCTTCCTCTTCACTTGCTGGTGTCAAAGGGCTACAGGGTGGTGTGGAAAACGGAAGGCTGTCGCATCTCCCATCCAACGTATGGCCAGGTGAATTGCTCCATGAGACACGGGTGTCCAGTTATGCCGAGAGCGGAAGCACTGGAAATGTTGCATCGCTTTGAGACGGAGGAGAAGCTGGGCTTGTACCTCAAGGAGACGGAGCGCATCTGGTGGAAGGAGCACTTTCCGGAAGTCCCAGAAGAGGTGCTTCGACACATGGTGGGTCAGGGGGAGGATCCAATGGTGTGGACATGCCCTTGGAATAGAAGGCAGCGTCGGGGACATCGTCGAGTGTGGGCTTACTTGTGGAAGCTTGCAGAGGGTGGCTTCATCAAGGCAGTGATCGGTGGCCCACCTTGCAGGACCACAAGCCGATTGAGAAATCGTGGACCTCCGGGACCCAGGCGTCTCCGTGGAAGAGATGATGAGCGGTGGCACCTGGATCACCTGGATCCCTTCGAGTTGGAACTTGTCAACAGTGACAGCGCGCTGATGTTGAAGCACATGGCGCTGTGGGTGAAGTCAAATGAATGCCGGACTCTGCCAATGGAGCCAACTGGTTTTTTCATGGAGTCCCCTGAGGATCCCAAGGACTACTTGGAGGATGAGGAGGAAGCCAAGATTTGTCCGAGCTTCTTCAACTTCAAGGAGGTCCAGCAGTTCGTCGGGAAGGAGGGCCTGATCTACTTTGCCTTCGACCAAGGTCAAACCGGGCATCGCAGGAGGAAGCCAACTGGCATTGTCACCAACTTGCCGGAGATGTCTCAACTGGCAGGACTTAGAGGTGGAGGTGTCACAACTGCGATTCATGGTGGGCTCGGTGAAAGGATTTTGGCATCAAAGTCATGGGCGGAATGGAGTCCAGGTTTGGTGGCTGCGGTCAAGGAGTCCCTCAAGATGTATCTGGACATGTTGGATGCCCATGGAGCTGAAGTTCGATCAGATCCACAACTTCGAAAACTGGATATGGCATCATGGCGGAAGCATGTTCGACAGCAGCATGTTCCTTTCAGAAAAGACTGCAGGGTGTGCCTGGAATCAATGGGCACTTCACATCCTCATCGAAGAAGCCACAATGCTTCTTCATCCTTCACTATGTCTCTGGATTTGGCAGGGCCATACCAAGTTGGGCGAGATCTGGGAACCGGGAAGTCTTGCAGGTACATGATGGTGGCGGTTGTTCCAATTCCAGTACTACATGAACTTCCAGTGGCACATGAAATCCCTGATCTTCAGCCAGAAGATGTTGAAGAGGCTCCTGAACATCCAGAAGAAGAAGAACCAGAGGAGCCGGTGGAGGATGTGGAGCAGGACGTGGTGAACGCCTTGAATGAGAAGGCGAACATTGAGGAGATGGCTGAACCTGCATCGGTTCAAAATGTGACGCTGATGGAACCGGTCCAATCTCGACATGTGGACCATCTGGTTGCAGCGATGTCCAAGCTTCATGCCAAATACCGGATGCTGGGGATCAATGTCATGCGGCTGCACACAGACCGCGAAAAGTCTTTTCTTCATGCCAAGGTGCAGCGGTGGTGCGAGCAGCGCCAACTGGTCCAGACGATGACGTCCGGTGATGACCCGGCAGCCAACGGCCGGTGCGAGGTTGAGGTTGGACAGCTGAAAAGACGCTTGAGGCTGATGCTTCATGAGTCTGGTGTAGATGCTGCACTGTGGCCATGTGCGGCCCGACATGCGGCCGAAGAGAGGTTCCGTCTTCAAGTTCAACGTCTTGGGCTTTCGATGAAGCCAATGCTGAGGTTTGGTGCTCAAGTAGCGGTGAAGGTGAAAAGATGGCATCGCCGAGGCCAACCTTTGTCCAATCCTTTCAGGTCGATGCAGCTTCTTGGTCCATCACCTTTTATGTCAACTGGATGGATCACCAAGGATGAGCACAATGTGATGCATGTCCGGACGGCCATTATCCCAGATCCTGATGGTGATGAAGCGCAGCTGGAGCTTCGTCAAATTGATGCTGGTGGTGGTCGCGGAAATCGGGGGAGGAGATTGATTGGAAAACAGTCCGATGATCCTCATCCTCTTCAAGGAGCTATGCCGCTGTTGTTTGAGCAGCCTCGTGCGGAGCTAGCTGGACCTGCCCTTATCAAGATGCGGGCAGGGGGGGAGACTATTGGAGGTACTATTGGAGGTGAAAATCAAAAAGAAAAAGAAAAAGTTTTTGACCCCAAATCCTCCTTGTCTTCTTCCACGGCATCCCCTTCGAGTGGCTCTGACTGTGGCATGGTGGAGTGTTCAAACTGTGGTCTTCGCCAACCGCTTCAATGTGGGCAGTTTGGGGACTACGAGATTGTGGATGAGGCCGCTGTGAAGGCCTTGAAGGTTTCTGAGGGGTTCGACGCTTCAAAGAATGTGGAGGTCCAAAAACCCTTTGCAGTGTCTGAGGATGTCGGGGTGGCTGAATACTCCGATGATGATGAACATGGTGGCAACTGTGGTTTCTGTGGAGAGCGGTTGGAGTTGGGCTTTCCTGGAGAGATGGTAGTTCCGGGGGAGCACACTGAGCCTCTTCAACGCTGCTCTTGGGCCGAGGCTGAGTTGTTCCATGAGATCGAGGTGGAGGAGCACGGGGCGTTGAAGTCTCTGTGGATGGAGGAGCTTCGGAAGGTGGCGGTCGGTGAAGATGAAGGGATGAAACAGGGCCGGGTCTTAGAGGAGCTTGAGACGGAGCTGGTGATCCGAGAAGCCCACCTGGAGGAGCAGCATCTTTGTCTTCATCAACATCGGTTGGCATCATTGTCGTTGCCAACACCTTCAATCGATGGGCCTCCTGCAGAGCTTCCTCAACCAGTTCTTCAAACCTATACGGTCCCCTTGCAGCTAGGTCAAGCGAGATTTGGATGCTTGGGTGCCTGCCTTGAAGGCAGAATATGGTTCTCTGACGGGAACGGGGGCAATCCGCCCAACAACGGATGCAGAGCTTCGCAAAAATCCTCTGTATCACACAATGGAGTTGGCCCCAGCGATGCTTGTTCCAACAATCAAGGCTCCAAATGCGCGCAAGAAGGCTCGGGTGGTGGTGTGTGGAAATATCGTCTTGAACGAGTTGGTCCTGGTGATGATGGTCCGGCTGCTGATGGTCCACAACCTTCCACTTCGCCCTACAGCACATATGCTGGAGGGGCTGATGGAGCATTGTTGCGGTGCTTGGTCAAAAAGGCATCCTGTGAGAACGGGGGCGTGGCCAGCTTAGATGTGGCTACAGCCTTTTTATTGGCACCAAGGAGGGAATCAGAACGCCAGCTCCTGGTGATGAAGCCTCCGAAGGTTTTGGTCGATGCTGGAATTTGTGGCAGTGACGAGCTTTGGCAGATCCAGCATGCAATGTATGGACTCACTTCCTCGCCGTCGGATTGGGGGCACTACCGAAATTCGGTGTTGTCCAAGCTCCAGTGGAATCTGGAAGGGGTTGGATATCAACTGATCCAAACGCCTGAGCCGAACCTGTGGAAGGTGGTCCTCAAGGAGAACTCAATGGTCAAACAGTCCTATGAGGATCTGGATCGAGCCTATGGCTTTGTGGCCCTCTATGTGGACGACGTCCTGGCTGTTGGCGAGGTCGGTGTCATGACTGGGTTCTTGGAGGAGGTTCAGCGAACATGGAAATGCTCCAGTCCAGAATGGGTGAAGGAGGGTGAGTGGTCCAAGTTTTGCGGGTACGAGTTCACCAAGAAGGAGAACGCTATCCTCTTGTCTCAGAGGTCGTACATCAGGGATTTGCTCAGTCGCTATGAGGACTTAGTGCCAAAGTCAACGCCACTCCCAGGCACGTTGGATGAGACGCCTGAGGAGAACGTGCAAATCTCTGATGTCCGTGCAGCACAGACTTTGGTAGGAGAACTCCTTTGGGCCGCTTGTAGATCCAGACCTGACTTGAGCTTTGCAACGTCATGGCTGGGCAGGCATGTTACAAGGTGCCCTCGTAGGGTGCTCTCCTTGGGCCGTCACACCTTGGGCTATCTGAGTGCAACAGCCGATATGAGCTTGGCCTACAACCGATGTGAAGGTGGTTTTGGCTCTGGGGGTAGCTTGGCCTTCTAGCGCAACATGCTCACCTTGGAGGTCTTCAGCGATGCGGCTATGGGTGCTCAGTGCCAACGTGGTCATCAAGGCTTGGTGGCAGTCTATGGAGGTTCACCGGTGCAGTGGGACTCGCGGCAACAGCCATTTTGTGTGCTCAGTACAACGGAGTCTGAGCTTTTGGGCTACTGCGATGGTCTGGTGCTTGGTGAATCAATTTCATCAATCGTGGAGATCTTGGAGAACAACCAGCTGTGTGAAAAAGGTGAACGAGTCTTGTATGGGGACAGCATGTCGGGCTTGAAGCTCCTGGAGGCTCCTGATGGGCCGTGGCGTACCCGACATCTTCGCCTTCGAAGCTATGTTCTCCGTGAACGTCTTCAATGTGGTCTTTGGAAGGCGCGGCATCTTCCTGGCAGCGAGCTGGCCTCAGACCTGCTGACGAAGCCGGTCACTTCACCTTCGGCTTGGCAGAAGTTCTATGACTTCATGGGCATGGTGGTCAATGCTGGTCAAAAGCTGGAGGATGATGGAGTGGAGCCAAAGAGCTCTACTCGTAGTGGTTTAGCTAGCACAATAGCTGCGGTCAGTGGCTTGGTAGGTTTGGCAGCTTGGGAGCCGACATGTGAAACGGCTAAGGTAGCTAGGTTGATGGCCATCACTGCCTTGGTAGCTCACTTAGCTTTGAAATGCACCCCATGGATAGGAGGTGAAAAAGATCCCAAAAAAGCCGGGCCAAAGGCCATTGGGCGTCCCACGGCAGACCTGCGGGAAGGGACACCCACAGAGCAGGCTGTCGAAAAAAGAAAGGGTCTGAGGGAACATGAACCCAGGCCAGTCAAGGGCGATGCAAGGGAAAATGAACCTGCATTGCAACATGAAGTGAGGGACCATGAACCCACTTCATCCTACTGTAGCCCCGAGGGCTCCCCGGTTGCTCCGCGCTTGTGTGCTGTTCGGGCACCGCCGCTTGGGCCGACGCCATGGGAGTCTGCGGAGTTCAACCAGCCGCCATACGCGGCAAATGATGACTTGTGGATCAGCCTCAATGGTGGATGGGTAGTGAGGGTTCATCGGTCGCTGAGAAGCCGGTTGTTCCACCCGATCCACCGCAGCTGTCCGGTCAGAATCGAAGATTTGCAGGCCAGAAGAATCTCGGTCATCTGGTGGTCAGGGCCTCGAGGCTGGGAACGAGCTGTGCAGGAGGATCAGTGGTTCCATGGCCAAGTGCCGCCGCAGCCCCCGGTGACGGGTCAATGGAGAGGGTGGACTTTCTTTCGCATTGAAGAAAGTCCTCAAAATGGACACAATTCCTCGAGTGTGACTCGCATACAACCTGATGTGTTGGTGTGGACGCCTGACAACGAGCGGGCGTGGAACATGCCGAGGCAACTTGGAAGGTCTTCGGGAAGTGGAAGAAGAGCTCAAGTTGATGCCAGCGGTCGTGGTGCAGCAGCCTTTGCATCAATGGGGACTGGACAGGTCTCACGTGAGACTAGCTCTGTGGGAAGCTGGTCTGTGGCTGGTGGCTACAGAGGCCCACCTTCGTCCACGGCTTCGGCATCATCGGCGGCTCCGGCTGTGAGGCCGACTGGTTCTTTGGATGGATCCTCGAGCTCTTCAGCGATGTGGGGGCCCACAAGGAGCTCTTTGAGGCACACTGTTTTTCCCCCAGGGACTCAGGTGTACCAACGGACACCAGCCCCGGTGAATCGGTGGAATGATGGGCCAACATTGAGCGTCCGTGAAGGAGAGTCTGTCCGGGAAGCCACACTTCGGGCCTTGCAGGCACCACTTCCTCCAGACCTTCACCCTGGACGTCCTCGAGAGGATCCAACGGGCCGCAGAACCCGATATCTGCGATCAAACCGCTCTGATGTCAGCGATGGGATGCTCTGGGACTTCCTCCATGGAGCTACTGTGGAAGGGGGAACGGATGAGGACCAGTACTACGAGGAGGCAGTGGAATCCGAGGAGGAGACCAGTGATGGCAGCTTCTCCGTGGTGACTGATCAACCTCAACATGCTGGTGTTCCGAGCCCAGAAGACGAGTCAGCTGACATGTGAGCCGCTCCTAGCTCTCTTTTTTGGAATGGCTCGAAGCAGCCAATGGAATTTTCCTGGCACTCCTTTTGGCCATAGGCCGACTTGGCACTTGCTTGGTTGCTGTGGAACAGCAAGGGGGAGTGTGGATGGAACAGTCGTCCTACACTTGAAATCGAGAAGTGTAACAAGTTTTCTTTTGGAGTTGAGAAGAATAGCATGGCCCCTGCGCATTCACTTGTAGCAGCATGGCCTTCCTGCCAAGGATGACACGCACAGACATGTGCACTCTTTTGTTCATGGCTCAAGAAAAATAGGAGTGGTGCAGCTCACTGGCGCGGTACCTGTGCCTTCACACTTTGAAATAACCCCGCAACTTAACTTTTGCCAAATCCGCAATTTTTGGACAAACCCATATCCATTGCATTCCATTGCAGCAAATCTTCTTATAGAATATTGGTTTGATTGAGTAAGGGTATAAACCCGTGTTATTGTACCGTGTTATTCTGGTTGGTGGTTGAGCCATACCCCTCTGAAAAATCATGGAGTGAAAGTCAGTTGGGATCTGTGAAAATTCCCAACTGAATGGAAAAATAATCCAAATGTTCCAAACCACCAGTCAGCATTTTTCCTGCTTAACTCATACCATGTTCTGTTCGTCAAATCATCAGTTTCTGGTTTATTTCATGGAAAATCCATTCTGGTTGGTGGTATACTCAACCAGTATTGTAGTCATCTAGGGCCCCCCCTTTTGTCTAAATGCCTTGGACAGCTGAAGTTGCTGCACTGCGAAGGGATCCACGTAGCCTCCAAAGGCCACCTGACTTCGCGACGAATGACCCTCTGGTAAACGTTTACATAGCCATGGAAAATCACCATCTTTAAGTTCGGTAAATCAACAGAAATCAATAGAAATCAACATAAATCAACTATTTCTATGTGCCATGGCTTCCAGTTCGCAAACGGTAACAGTTACATCCTGGCATTTTTCGGCCGTGATTCCCCCCGGGATGAAATGCGCCAAAGGTTCATCCCCCTTTTTGATGGTCAAGGCCCAATATCACACTGACTTAACCATGGAAAATAGATGTGATATTAGCTCACTATAGAACAGTTTTAAGGTTAAGTCAATCTTCTATAGTTTAACTATAGAACATTGACTTAACATTTAGGCCCTTATTTATCTTCATGTGTCCTGTGTTTATCTGTTTTTGATGGTCAAAATGTCTAGATTCTTCACCAACTCTTTACAGGGTGAGGCCCCATAGCTGAGTTGATGTAACTTGGTTAACTGTTGGGCCCATGGGGAATCTCACTATAGTTGATGGGATTTTCTCAGCGAACATAACTATCATATCAATGGGAGATCTCTAGGATACTAAATTGCAGGTACGTTAGTACCATATTTTTGGCCATATTTTGTGGGGATATTCCCTGAAATTTAGGCCTTATATAGGCCTTATATATGGTAGGTACCTCCAATTTAGGATCCTGGAATGGCCATTGATCATAAGGGCCTCACCTTGTACCTACACCTCGACTACCCGACTATCCCCGCCTCCAAGCCCACGTATGTCAGTAGAAAGGCTCCAGTCAGCAAGACGATGCAAGGCAATGCTTTGGCCTCGCGTTGGGCTGGCGAGTTGCCCCAGCTGCCCCAGGTGCCCCAGGATCAAAACTGGGCATGGAGCTATCAATGGGGATATGTCATGGGAATATCCAACTTTTATATGTGTGGTGAATTGGTAAATGAAGATAATAAAATACATATTTGAAGATACTTGGTGCCAACTACATGGTATTCAATTGGGTGTCCAATTAATATTGAATATATGATATATTGAATATGTTTTAATTCAACTAGGACCGTGAAGTATTGGATGCTTCCAATCTGATCTTAAGCCGTGGTTCATCCCAGGAATCTCCGTAAGTGTTGTGTTTCAGTGTGGCAACGCAGCCCCAGGAGTCCGAAAATGAGGATTCCAGCAAACAAACGGATTAAGGGGCTAAACAATACAGGATGGTGCCCCCCAGTTACAAGTTGGTTTAAAAACCCCATTAACTATAGTTATAAGTACCATAAACCATAGTTATGGGAGTTATAAACCAACTTAGCTAACTATGGGGCACCACCTTGTAGAGACTTAAGGTTTTTTTTGCTGAACTGGTTGGTGGTGCAATGTGCCCATCTTGAAAAATGATGGAGTTCGTCAATGGGAAGGATGATCTTATTCCATATATGAAATGGAAAATAAAACATATATTTGAAACCGCCAACCAGGTTAACCAGTGACAGTGATTTGTAGACTGATCTTCCACTCAGAATGTTGGTGACAATAGAATCCCCCAGTGGAAGTGCTTCGATCTTTGCCAAACTTCTCGAGCTCTTCTGCCTCCTGCATCTGGACTACGGCCATTTTTTGGCAGCCAGCAACATCGCCAGCAATGTCCTTTCAAGACCTACCAGTAAGCCTAGATCACCTACTTATAAACCCTATGACTCTATACTTACAACAACCATAAACCCTGGTTAACCTTCACTCAACCAACTTAGCCGGGGGCACAACCCTGAACATTAGCTGTCTAGACTCTAGACCCTAAAAATCGACCCATACAGATTAGTACTCTACCATACTTTACCCAATTTTCACAAGAAAAATGCCACTTTAACCAATTCTTATCAGGTACCTTAAGTGTCTTGATGGTTTCAAATTGGTTTCCAGATAGTTTTTTTTCGGCTTTCTGGCGGGTCTCCGGTACTCAGCGTTCCAGGGGTGTTACCCCTGAGCCACGCCCGAAAAAATGTGACATAACATTTCTTGCTTAATCTTAAAATATTATTTTTCGCTGGTGAAATCCCATTTCCCTACCCTCTGGTAATTTAACATAGCTATGGAAAATTGCCATTTATAGTGAGTTTTCCCATTAAAAATGGTGATATTCTATAGCTACGTTAGTTTACCAGAGGGTACTTCAAACAGCATGTTTTCACAACAATTAATTACCACGTAGTACCACAGCCATGGAACTCAACACCACCCGCGAATCGCGACTCACGGCACCTCTGTGTCGTCCGCACCGGTCTTCGGCTGCTTCTGAAAGCTGAGCAAAAATAAACAGAGGCACGCCGGCACATAGGTGGCCACCGGCACCCACCAGGCCTGTCGAGATTTCGGCTGGGGGTACAAAATTTAAGGTTTCAGGGGTTCACACAAGGTGGTGCCCCATAGTTAGCTAAGTTGGTTTATAACTCCAATAACTAGGGTTTATGGTAGATTCATCTATACTTACTATGGTTTAGAAACCAACTTATAACTGGGGGGCACCACCTTTTATAGTTGATCAGTTCAATTTTTCGAGCAAAACCAGGTAGTGTCATCGCTTGTATAACTAATTTATAAGGATGTTGGTGCTTAGATGAATGTGGGATCTTTTTTGTTTACATCCAGAAGAGCCAGTTCAGTATTGATGCCAAAACCAATGGCCAACGGGAGTCGTGAGCACATTAGCAAATATGTCCCAAATCTGAAATAAGCCTCTCATGGTGTCATCATTTGCAGTCATGTTGGTTAATGATGTCGCTATAATCGAAGCATCTTTGATTGGCCGCAGTCCTTTTGTGATTGCCCGCGGTTTGTTCTTCTCAAATCCTTGACACATCTAGACCCGCAAGCAGTATGAGATATTATATCCATCAGTGTCAAAGAGTGCCATGGTGATTGCTACTACCAGCCATGGTGCTGGGCCAAGGCTATCATAACACTATCTGAGTGCCCTTGTGCCCTTTAGACTTGATTCCCAAGAGCCAGGATATCCCTACTCAGAGATTCCAGCATGGAAATTATTATTTCTGATTGCGAAACATGAGAAAACCATGGTATCCCACATTTATTTCATGGTTTTCTGTCTTGTAACTTGTCATGTCTCGATGTTTTTTTGCCGGCCATATAATAAACGCGGCCTAAAAAAAAAACAGCATCACCACCATGGGGTCATAGGCCATGGGGGTGTTTTTTATTGGGGATGGGACGGCTTTTCCATGAAATCAACGCGAAGTTCAACCCGAAACCCACCCCTTGGTCTCCGAGAACTTGCCGCAAGTTGAAATCCCCATAACCCATGACGGATCCTAACGGTGCTGCTATATTAATGGTGTGCCATGAATCCCATCAAGAAATACCCCAGTCATGTTAGCATTAATATACCAGCACCAGCCGGATCCGTCATGGGTAATTGGTTGGTTAAGTCACCATTTTTGCAGGTGGAATCCCATGTTTATCTTGTTTGTTGTTGAAATTCCCATCTCTGTTGGTGAGGTCTCGCAGCTGAAATCCCATTTTTGACGATGATCTTCCCATCAAAAACCACGATGTATGACCAGTGAAAACCTGATGGCCACAGTGACATATAGATACATATAGTAGTTAGGTCACCTGTGACTTGCAGTCTTTTGATGTCTTTCTGGTCTGTTTTCCTCAGCACGTACCTTGTCAATCGCCATTCTTCTCTTCTACTGACGATCTCACTGTGATGTGTCACAAAAGCAGTTCCCGAAACTGACGGCATTTCCCATTTCCCAATGGATATAGCATAGCTTTTCAGGGGGCCACCATGGCAAAGTTCATCAGCGCCGTCCTCATAGTCAATCTTGGCAGGCTGCTTGTTGATGAAATCTCCATAATTTGTTGGTCAAGTCACCATTTTTGCAGGTGAAATTCTCATTTTTGATCATGGAATTCCCATAATTTGTTGGTCAAGTCACCATTGTTGCAGGTGAAATTCTCATTTTTGATGATGGAATTCCCATAATTTGTTGGTTAAGTCACCATTTTTGCAGGTGAAATCCTCATGTTTTACTATGAATTTCCATGAATTTCCCATGTTTGTTGGTAAAGTCCCCATTTTTCGTGGTGAAATCCCTCAGCGCAAAACCCAGGTGCGGTGCCCGCGCAGGAAAACGCGCTCCTGCACTGCGTCGTCGCCGCCGCAGCGCAGAACCAGGCTGACGCAAAGGGGCGCGATGAAGGCGCCCAGGCCGAAGAGGAAGTGGAAACCTCAGTCAGTCAAACGGTGGATTTTTCCGCAGTGAACAGCGGTTTTTTGGATCAGAAACGATGGGTTTTTGTCCTGAAAAATAAACGATGGGAATCAAAGGGACTTGATGAGCAATTTTTAGGGTATTGGTAAGCCCTGATTTTCAGCAATAACTGGTTGGTGGTATACCAATCCCTCTGAAAAATGATGGAGTTCGTCAGTTGGGATCATGAAATTCCAAATATAGGGGAAACATCAAAGTCATGTTCCAAAGCACCAAGCAGATGGGGGAATTCATGAAAAAAACATGGGGAGATCACGGGAGATTTATCGTTCTGAATGATGAGAAAGGATAGAACCTGGTGGGACGATGATGGGATAAGGGATAACCAGGGGATAACCAGGGGGACACTGGAAA